TTTCACAGATTTCCAAATAATTAGTTATTTTTCCTCTTCCTTATCGAATTATGTTTATTTTTATTATGTACCTACCTACCCACTCATATATTTATTTTTTCAAAACCTTGACGAATTGAATCTCATATTTTTAGATGCAAACTAAAATTACAAATTTCAATAAGTTTTTTTCACATAATTGATTCTCAAATTTTGCAAGAATTTAATGATGCACAAAATTTTGAATAGTATTTTCATGCGTTAAAATAAAATCAAATTGTAGTTAGACTTTATTCAAATAATAATTAGTATTGTAAATCTTAATTCAATTTGGTTCGAATTCACTAACTTTGGTTTCAGTTTGGTTTCCTAAGTAGTAACCATTCAATTTATAAACAAATCCCGGTTCGATTTCGGGTTAGAAACTTCAACTTGACCAGAACTCGGAACAAACACAATATGTATGAGAAGTAGGCTCACAACAACTTCTAGAGTCTAGAGATAAGATTTTAATCATATGACAACTCTTTTTTATTGTTTTGTGTGTAAGAATCTATCATAAAGAGATACAATATCAAACTTTCTCAATATGATAATTTCCCATAAAAGTTGTATAAGAGTAGACGAAAACTAGTTAGTAGCATCTGTTGTGTTACCTGTGTGTTATATCTCCAGCTCGCATCTCATAAAATCTACAACTTTCTTTGTTAGATTTGGTCATGAAGAAGATGAGACTTCACAAAAAAAAGGGCATCTTCAGGATTGTTGCAGCGAGCTGGATTTGAGTAACCATACTGTGTTTTCTTCGTTTTCACCTTCGCATTCTAGTCCACAAACCCGAGACTCTAGACTGGTGATGCCGCTTTGTGCTTCCCAAACCGCTGTCGCTAACACTACCTCCTTCGTAGAGGTTTTCATGAACCTCTGAGAACTCTTTCGTCCATGGATTCAGTGGAATCACATACGAATCGTCCTTTGTTGTTTTCTTCTGCTGCTCGAATCTTTTCACGTTTTCCGATATCTGATGGAATGTTCTGTTTATTTTCGCTATTCCTCTTTCAACCGGTTCCACCACGTGCGAAACTGTGAACCTCATGTCATCCACAATCTAGCCAAACAAACAAAAAACGAAACATTTGGTCATGAGCAACGATAAGGGCCAAAAGCATAGAGGATTTGATTCGTTTTAGAGGAAACCAGACTTACGATTTCACCACTCCCCATCACCACATCACGCACACTTTGTGGGAAATTCAAGCGTTTCTCTTTCTCGTCATGTCTACCATACCGTGTTCTAGTTGTTCTTTCACTGTCTTTAACCTCTTCCGGATCAGGAGGTGTATCTAAAGANGCATAATCTGACATTACTGCTACATTACGGACACATCTTTCTCCACGCTTATAAGGCGCAGCTGGAAAGACATAGAGATGAACCACGGCAGCAATACCCATCTGTAAAAAACATCACATTTTTAGAACTTGATAAACTCTCACCAATCTATTTGTGGATACTTAAAGCATAGATTAGTTTATGAAAACTACCTCGATACAGATGATGTAGTCTTGTATTCGCGTTTTCAGTTCCTTGGCCAAAGAGCCTTTGAAAAGTCCCATAGAGAAGAGGAATGCAACAATAATTCCTTGCCACCAAGTGAGGAATACTATAGACTTGAATGTTAAAAACTTGGCCAATGGTTTAATGGGTGCAAGCTTATCTTTGATGACACCGTAGAACTGTACAAGGCAATACAATGCCCATGTTTGACTGAAATTTAGCACTACAGCAAGATATGGATACCTGCAATGAGACAAGTCATTAGAATATCATACCATATTTATATCAAGACAAGAACAAATACAGCAATGCATCAACATCGGAAGGGAGGAAAAAAAAGATTACCCGTAATTCCATTGGAACTTCCCTTCTCCATAAACTCCAAAGGCTTCGAGGATCATTGCTAATAGAGCACAGATCATTTTCAGTATCATCTGCAGCAGAAGTTTTCGTCAGTTAAAGTACAGTAATAGATTATAAAGCATAGTGCATAGAAATTTATAACAGTACATACATACTGAACGATGCCAATTTTCACAGCATGATAAAACTCAGGACCGAGATTCCAATCCCTTAGGAAGCAGTTCATTGGAAAGGGATGCTCAACAACTCCATAAGAACATGTGCCTTCTAGAAGAGGAGTGCTCTGGGTGATAACCGTCTGCTGTTCCATGAATTCAATTGTACGTTCTTCTCCATCTGCAAATACAGAGATCAAATGACTTGTAAATTATATCTGCGATATAATCAAGAGTCAACAGATTCCAAAGATATTTTCAAGTGAAAAGAGAATCTGAGCTATAAGCCTTCAACGATCAACGGTTACCACAGAACAAATCCAGCTCCATCACCTACTACACATCGCCCATAATTACTTTAAATCTCAATCGAGCCACTCTATTACATGAATAAACGACTCTGTATATAAACTATCCCCTCTGGTGAAATATCAACTACTTTTGTTTGTTTGAAGCCTTAAAAATCCTTTTTCAGAGACTCAGAAGCTAGATACACAGATTTTTACGGTTAGATCAACATTACCTAGGCAAGCTATCAGATATCTCTCAAAACAGTAGAGTGCAAAAGCTTCATAACAATCCCGAATCACCTCGCAATTGAAAGCTGCTTCTGAGTTCACCAAAGACAAAAACTGCTCAAATAAAAATGTAAAGAACCCAATTAGAAAAGAATCTCCATATGAATCATAAAAGAAATTACACTACAAATACAGGGTTAACATATATAGTAACTAATTAATCCTACCGATTCCAAGGCATAAACAGGGACCATCAGAATAAGTCCAATAAGAAATTTCTGTTCCTGTAACAAAAATAAAGGGAGTGTTATGCAATGTCCAAACTTTTTGTCAGTGAAAAGTTATACAGATGAATCAGTATCATTTATTATGAGCAAGGGAACACGAAAGACCGAGTGTTTAGGAAGTGATAAACAAACCTCAGGCTGATTATAAGCAGCTAAGTGCTCAAAGATAAGATACATGGGGAGGACGATGGCAACAACCACGAATACACTAGCACTTAAGATTGGCCAAGTGAAGGATTGTCCGGTATCAACACCGAGGTTAGGAAGCCACATTGTCCCGAATCTACTCGACGACTCTCCCATCGATATAACGAAAAACAAAGAGCAGAGGATTCCCCTCCACTCCATTTGGAGAAAAAAACAGCAAAAAAGGAAAAGAAGCCAAATTCTCTTCACATCAAGCAAGAACACCAAATTCTTTCCAAAGCCCAATTTTTTCCAAGGCTCATAGATATCAAAACCCCAAAGTCACTGATTTTTCAATTCACACCGATCCTGATCCTTTCTCAAGTTGACCCTTCTGATTCAGAACCCAAAAACCTGCATTACGAGTACAAACACACAACAATTAGATTATGTTATGATCAAAGATTGAATCTTTGGAACCCAAATTGTCTCAGATATACGAAAAAAATGATCTAAATTCGTTATTCTGATTCGTCTTTGCAATATTATTATTCCACTGAACAAACAACAAGCTAAGAAAACAAACCGATTTTGAAAAACCCTAAATCACCGAACCCCAAATAAAAACGATTTCAACAAACAATTAAAGAGAAATTGCACTCACGCGAGTATCAATTTCGATATCCAGAAGAAAACCCAGAGTCCTAGTACCTTCGAAGTTGCTCGTATCAAGGAGAACAAAAAATTCCAAAAAAAAAATCCAACAAAAATCGAGCCAGAGATTTTCTTTTTTGTTTCGTTGTTATCGAGTTTTAGGTATTATAAAATTTTCTACTTTTTCGCGTGGAAGAGAAAGAGGGCTGCCTAAAAAGGAAAATATTGTGCCTTTTTTGCTTTGGCGGTTTGTGACAAGCTAAACCCTTAAATTAATCAATGGATTTTTTTTCATAGGACTTTTAATTTTACTAACGTTTTTATTCCATTTAGTAGTACAAATTGGCTAAACTGAATGTTATTTATTTTTTACATCACCAACATTCTTTCACATTCAATTGCTAAAGAAAATATGGGATTTCAAACATGATTAAATGTGACAATAATCAATGGATTTTTTTCATACGACTTTTAATTTTACTGACGTTTTTATTCGATTTAGTAGTACTACTAAATAAATTGTCTGAATGTTTATTTATTTTTTACATTACCAACATTTTTTCCACAGTCAATTGCTAAAGAAATATGGGATTTGCTATATAACCATAGCTTTCAAACATGATTAAATGTGACAGTGACCAACAGTAATGAATTAAATTTATGGGGTTAGAATTTCTGATTAGCACAATTAGGTGTGTACCATTCAATCAATTGACTAGTAGTTGGTTTTAGATATTCGGATATTTGGTAGAATTCTTTTGTCAACTATTATAAGCCTCATCTTTATGATACTAAAGAAACTAATAATGCTTCTTTTAGTATTACGTCCTTTTTATTAATTATTTCATTTACAATAGTGTTAAGGTTCTGAAATTGAAATCAACTTACTTACAAGTTTTTTTTTTTTTTTAACTTAACTTACTTAATTACAAGTTACAACCAAAATCAGCAAAAGAAAACTAAACACATAAACTTAAAGAGATTAATTCAGTCTAGAATTCAGTGCAAATTGAGTCGTTATCTTCTGTATATTTTAACAGAAATAATTTCAAATTATAAATTGGTATTTACTATTTAGAGACTATTTTTCTACATTTTTCCAATTCTACATTTTAATATAAATCATTCCAAATACAAATAAGTCGTCGTTTGGTATTTAGACGTTATCTTCTCTATATTTTTCTTCGTTTTCTAAATGTTTTATATCGGATATACAGATACTATATAGATCTCTATATATTTTAAGAAGAAAATATTATAAATTTCTTTCTTTTAAAATAAAGAAAATGAATCAAACTTATTAAGAAAACCATTGGCAATGGTCCATTGCCAATTAAACCAACCACCATGCAAGAAAGATGAAGTCAGAAATCACTCCTTAGAATAAGGGATAAGGAAAGAGATCAAATCAATGTATCCAACCTTTATTTCTCCCTAAAGCTTTGATTATAATCACTACTACTTCACAACACTTGATCACAATTACAACAAAAGGGATCATTTTGGATTCGAGGTTTAAGCCATGGCTGGTGGTGGAGTTCTTGCTGATGAAGGAGCCTTAAAGAGAGCTCATCTCTATGAACATCGAATGACTGGTTACTTCATATTTGCTTGCATCGTTGGATCCATGGGAGGCTCTCTCTTTGGCTATGATCTTGGAGTCTCTGGTTAGCTATCTCTCACACTCACTCGATCTTGATTTATCTTATATCAATCAAAAACTTCGAATCTCGAAACTCTCAAGCCTTGTTTCTGAAAAGGGTCAGCTTCAATTTCCCTTTTCTTGCAAATTAAAAGAACCTCTGCAAACATGCATTGTTCTCTATCTCTCTAACTGTTCTTTATCTGTCTGGATCTGTCAGAAATTAATCGAAAACTCGTGTTCTGAAATTCTGAATCCTCTCTCTGAGGGTTAACTTCAGTTTTGTTAAATTCTTTAGTTTCTTGTAACTCAAGGAACTTATGCAAGACGCATTCCTCATTTTGCTTTAAACGCAGGTGGAGTTACATCAATGGACGATTTCTTGATAGAGTTCTTCCCAAATATCTACAAAAGAAAGCAAATGCATCTAAACGAAACAGATTACTGTAAATACGACAATCAAATCCTCACACTCTTTACCTCTTCTCTCTACTTCGCCGGTTTAATCTCAACTTTCGGAGCTTCTTATGTCACTCGAATCTACGGTAGGAGAGGAAGCATACTCGTCGGCTCCATTAGCTTCTTCCTCGGAGGAGTCATGAACGCCGCCGCCAAAAACATCTTCATGTTAATCCTCGGTCGAATCCTCCTCGGCATAGGCATTGGCTTCGGAAACCAGGCAAATCTCAAAATACATAAACTCTAATGTCTGAACAGTTTTTCGAATGCTCTTGTTTTCGGTTTCATTTTCTGCGTTGGCGGTTGCAGGCGGTTCCACTATATCTCTCGGAGATGGCTCCAGCGAAGATTCGAGGACTTGTGAATCAGCTTTTTCAGCTAACAACTTGCATTGGAATTTTAGTGGCTAATTTGATAAACTACAAAACAGAGCAAATTCATCCATGGGGATGGAGACTATCTCTCGGTCTCGCTGTGGTACCAGCAACACTCATGTTCCTCGGTGGACTCGTCTTACCGGAGACACCTAACAGTCTTGTCGAGCAAGGGAAGCTCGAGGAAGCTAAAACCGTACTGATCAAAGTTCGTGGCACAGACAAGATAGAAGCTGAGTTTGAGGATCTTGTCGAAGCTAGTGAAGCTGCTAGAGCCGTGAAGAATCCGTTTCGGAATCTTCTTGCTCGGAGGAACAGACCGCAGCTAGTGATTGGAGCGATTGGGCTTCCTGCGTTTCAACAGTTAACCGGAATGAATTCGATTTTGTTCTATGCTCCGGTTATGTTTCAGAGCTTAGGGTTTGGTGGATCCGCGTCGCTTATCTCTTCCACGATTACAAACGCTGCGCTAGTCGTCGCGGCAATCATGTCTATGTATTCAGCTGATAAATTTGGAAGAAGGTTTCTTCTTCTTGAAGCTAGCGTTGAGATGTTCTGCTATATGGTAACTGCTCTGTTTTTTCCATTCTTCAAGTAACGTGTGATACAAGCTAGGGTTTATATCTTGCTACGTAAGTAACTCCTAAAACCCATTGTTTCGCAGGTTGTAGTAGGAGTGACACTAGCCTTGAAGTTTGGGGAAGGCAAAGAGCTACCGAAAGAACTCGGTCTGATTCTTGTGGTCCTTATATGTCTGTTTGTATTGGCGTACGGACGGTCATGGGGTCCGATGGGATGGTTAGTTCCGAGCGAGATTTTCCCTTTAGAGACTCGATCGGCTGGTCAGAGCGTTGTGGTCTGCGTAAACCTTTTATTCACGGCGCTTATCGCGCAGTGTTTCCTCGTGTCGCTGTGTCATCTTAAGTACGGAATATTCCTTTTATTCGCCGGACTTATACTCGGGATGGGAAGTTTTGTTTACTTTTTGTTGCCGGAGACAAAACAGGTTCCGATTGAAGAGGTTTATCTTCTGTGGAGAAAGCATTGGCTTTGGAAGAAATATGTCGAAAATGTTGATAAAAGAGGCCAATCGATAAATAAATAAAAGATTTGATGAAGATTTTGGATCTTTAAGAGTTGAAATGTTTTTGCTTCTTCTTGAATAATTTAGCGAAATGGTTGGTGCTAACTATTCAGTGAAATCAAAACCTCATTAAGTGGTATTAAAAAGAACAACATCTGA